GTTACGATATCCCTGGAGTCCCTTGGATGTGGGGTGGAACGGGTTGCTGGTGTTGATCGGAGCAGAGGTTGGCTGCAGGTTCCCAGGGGGCTCATCGGAAGTCTTGCGTTAACTGCCTACACTTGATATAGATGAAGAGGAGGAAAGTACTACTGACCCTTCTCCATCTATTTCGATTGCTGCTCCAGAAGCACTTCCAGAACACAAGGAACCACGAAGGTTACCGCCGGAGCAGATCAGACTTGGACACGGAGTGGTAAGTTGGAAAGCAGCGTCCTATGTGGTGGTCTATTTATCGACGCCCCCATTACCTACACTATATAGTGTTGGAAAATAGGACAATGAATAAATGAGGAATGAAAAGTGTTTAGAAGAAAATGGTCGTGCCATATTTGGTGTATTATCCCAGAATAAATTAAAATAGGAATAGCCTCACTAAGGAAAACCCTGGCCGGATTTCGAAGCGAGTATTTCCCAAATACAAGTATAGAGTTTTGCCGCTGCACTAACCCGCGCGTTGAGAAATTTCACTAAGTTGGTCCCGTTGTGAGAAATAGAGTTAATAACATTAGATAGGCATGCCTCGTATTTCAGGTCACTTCAGCAATGGCCATCCGTATGCAAGGAGGGAACACAAATTTATAGAAACAAGTTGGCCTGAAGTAACATGTTAACTACGGGCCGCGCCACAGCTCAAGCGGTTAGTCGCTGGCTTCCCACTGCGAGGGCCGGGGTTCGATCCCGGGTCTGGTCAAGTGGGATTTGTGGTGGACAAAGTGGCGCTGGGGCAGGTTCTCTCCGAGTACTTCGGTTTTTCCTGCCAATCTTCATACCAACAATGCTCCACAATCACCCTCACCTATCATCTGGGGCTCGTACAATAGGCCAGAAGTGGCCGCAGTACAAGGGACTTAGTCCCACCTCAGTAGCATTAAAAAAAGTTCCGTTTTCTGAGAAAACCAAGTTCTTTTATTAACTAGATATATACGAAGCCCCTATAATGCTCATTCAATGCAGTATACAGTTTCTTCAGGGTGAGCACAATAATAATTTAAGCCTTTTATTTTTAGAAATGCAAAGGTTCCTATCTGATGAGCATCTTGAAATTAAGGAGTGCAGTGGATGTGGAAGTCAAGCTCCAGACATTCTTAAATCTAAAAGGTATAATAGTAGAGTGCAAGTGGTGGTAATTCTATCTCAGTACCTATGCAGGGGAAAGGGCACCTGCTGTCCAGTTCCAATTGCATTTCATTACTAACAGAATGGAATTATTTGAGAAAGTGAAGTTTAAAATCCCAGTCTCTCAGGGTCGCTGAAAATAGCAATCATATCAGCCACACGTGGTTCTCATGTGGTACTGTTACGGTAACGGGATACGTTCATAATTTACAGCAATCTCTTCTAGAACTAACTCATTAAATTCACAAAGCTGAACCGCTCTTGTGGAGCCGCAATTGTGAAGGTACATAAGAACTTCCCAGCATTTTATGGAACCCGAAAATTAATTACCATATTCACTAAAGTCCTCCACTGGTCCCTATCCCGAGCCAGACCAATCCTTCCCATACCACCACATCCTATCCCTCTAAAATCTTTAGTATTATCAATTCACCTACTTCTTGGTTTTCCTAGTGGTCTATTTTCTTCTGGCTTTCCCACCAATACCCTATATGCATTCCTCTTCGCCCCAATTCGTACTTCATGCCCTGACAATCTCATTTTCCTTGATTATTCTAATTATACTTGACGAAAAGTACGATTTATTAAGTTCTTCATTAGGCAGTTTTCTCCAAGCTCCCGTCACTTCATCTCTCTTCGGTCAAAATATTCTCCTCAGCGCCCTGTTCTCCAACCTCATTTTATAGAACTAAAGGTTCGATAAAGAACTTCACAGCTGTGGGTATGTATATATATTTGTTCTTTCTCTTAACGACGTTCTCATAAATGATGATGATATAGCGTCATTATATTGTGGCATCTTGCTGCACATTATTAATCAATTAACAAGCGTGTCTGATGTTCCGTCTTACATGCAACACATTTTAAATATTATGGTTAAATGTTACTACACATATATAATACGTCTTTCAAACTTATTCTAAAAACCACATTGTGCACTACATATTTCGACCGTCATTGGTCATCATTAGGTGCTTCTTAAAAACTGTTCTGTTGAGACTGCTGTGCTTGTGGCTTGAGAAGACACGCAGCGCCAAGAAGTAAGTGCACAAATAATAGACCAGAACACTAACACACAAGCTATACAAAACACTAACACAAATTAATATCACCGTCTGTAGAAAAACGATTGTGTCATGAGACTACGCGTCCTACATTAGAAGAAAGAATGAAAGCACAGTAGTCTCCACAAAACAGTTTTTAAAAACACCTGATGATGACCTATGACGATCGAAACATATAGTGGACAATGTGGTTTTTAAAATAAGTTTAAAAGATGCATTATATATATAGTAAATTTTAAACGAAAATTTTAAAAAGTGTTGCATATAAGATGGAATATCAGGGGCATTTATTAATTACTCATGTTATGAATAGTAGAACCGGTCGTGGTCTAATTTGAGACACCGCCTCGATATTTTACTGAAGCAAATGAGGAAAATCACCAAATTCCTGTCGGGATAATCACGTTCGGACCAAGATTACAACTGCATACCACCCGAGTAAAAGTAAAAAGCGTCACGGTTGGAACAAGTTTTTTCGGTCAGTGATTTTCATCAGTCAAGTAACTAAAATATTTGTGTAAAACAAGTCTAGAATAGAAACAATTTAACGCCAATTGCTGTTATATTCTGTAGGAGCCTCCATTAAATGAAGTGTTTTTGTGTTTAAAATTTGTATACACGGGACAGATCTTGGAACTGATATAATCATCAGCAAGGCACGTTCAAAAAGAGCAAATCGGATTCATGACGAAACATTAGCCTAATTTCCTTACTTTGAAAAAAAAAAACTTAAGCGTATGAGATCTGCATGCTGCCTGTATGTCTGCACGTTTACCCTACTTACCTACTTTTCAATGCTGTGGGTGCTGCAAGTACTATTGTTAGTACTACACTTCAAACCCGAGTTCTTCTGTATACTGTGCAATGAGGCTGTTTATTGGAGAATTAGGTCAGGCGGAACTACAGACAATTTGATCTCCTCCCTATCGACGTCTTCCTGTCGAATCCCCTCATAGTCTTCACTGTTGTCTATATAGGCTCGGCAACGACCATCCACAGAAAACACATCGCTGCTCAGTAAGGGATATCATGTAATGCTGTCAGGCGTGATCACCCATGCAATGGACACCTTATTGTTGCGCATTCTTTGCAGTGATGTGTTCATCGGTCAGTTATCTAGCAACGCTGTGTCCATCCACGTTACGATATTGTCACGTATCCGGGGTCCCGTACCATATTGAAGGGTTCTGTTTCACATGTTACTATATCAAATGATGATAACATCTGTATCAATATCAGATTATTTTCTTGGTTCATTAAATTGTATGAGTAACTAATTAAGTTCAATCATAAATATTTTGTACAGCACTTCTGTGCTAAAATTGTAGTATTTCAATATAAATTAAGATGGTAAGTTGTATATTTAATCAACACTTCTTCAAATTTCTTTAAATAATAAAACATTACAATTGTATTTTCATTACACAAATGGCATGGTTATTCATATATTTAGTCTTTTCTAAAATTAAATAAACATCTCTCCAAAACTGAATGCAATAAGCAGATTTCTGGTGTCTCAATACTACTAAATAAACACGAGCAATTACATGCTACAAAGTTATAGGATACATGGATAATTACATTTATAGTGATACTGAATTCTTTTTCCCAATATCGCATCACATCAATTTATTTATATTAAACAACGTCTCTAACTTCTGTCGTATCTCATTTGGACACTGTTTATTTCCCACGGAAAAATGTAAAACAATACTGAAAGTACTTGTTCATATATCATACAAGAGAAACATGAAAATTAATGTAAAGAAGACATTACTTACTTAAATGCAGAGAGATTCAAAGCAACACAGTAATATAATTCAAAATGAAAGATAAAATGGAGTACATGAACTTCATGAATGGTATCAGAACAAAGAAATGGGTTGAATATACGAAATACAGAGGGGTCCCAAAGAAATGTACTCACTCTTGGATAGTCAATATCTTTGGAACAAAATGACGTGTAGTTACAATTATTGCTCGGAGAGAGAGAGAGTCATTGTATATGTTCGAAGTGACCACCATCAGCGGCTAAACACCGTCGATGCCGCCGAACTGCTGAGCGAACTATGGCTGTCAGTGTGTCCGGTGTGATGGCTGCACACGACGCTTCGATGGTTTCTCGTAGCGCGTTCAGTGTCGATAAACTTCATCCTTCAAGGTTTCTCATCCTTGCGAACCATGCCTTCAAACCACTCACAGTATTCAAGCCTTCGATCCGGGTCGTCCTCGTTCATAGCGTGCAGCAGTCATCGAACGTACACCTACCACTTTGCAGCCTTCAGAATTCGCCGTAGACTTGATCGGCTTACCCCACTTTCGCGTGCACACTGATTCAAAGATTTTTGCGGTGATTGTGTAAAGTGTTGCAACACAACAGCACTTGAAGCTGGACTTGTTACTCTCCGTGGTCGCCCAGATCGCTGCTTATGCACATCATGAATAGTATCGTCGGTTTCAAAATTATCCCGAACATGGGCAATTGTTCGACGTGTTTGTGGCTGAGTTCCAAACTCATTCTGCCATTGTCGTTGTACCTCTTTAATGTTTTCGTACTTCCAGTACCACTTCAATACAGCCTTGCGTTGCTCAAAGAACCTTTCAGCCATTGTTGATGCTGTCTTCTGCACGCAGCGCGCATGCGGCACTACACTAACGTGACTCATGTAACCTTCACAATCTGTTGAGAAAACATGACACCACACTACCGTGCAAGAATTGTAACTATATGTCATTTTGTTCCAAAGATATTGACTATCAAAGAGTGAGTACCATTTTGTACCCCCTGTATATAGAGGGAATCAGCAGTCTATTTTCATCTCCTACTTGGGAATTTCAAAGTTGACATCCAGTCCGGCATCTCTTGCCAAACTGACGATATTTGACAACTTGACTGATAAACGTGCTGCTTCATCAAAGCTTTCACATACCAGTATCTTGAGCCCTGATGAAGCAATCAGAACTTTGGCTTCATCTACATTTGTGCCCTGTAGTCTGCACACGATAGGAACTTTCACGTTAAGATCCGCTGCAGCTGCAACTATGCCTTCAGCTATGACATCACAACTCATAATACCACCAAAAATATTCACCAGAATGGCATTGACTTTAGGATCAGATGTGATAATTTTGAAAGCTTCCTTGACTGCCTGTGCAGTGGATCCACCACCCACATCTAGGAAATTTGCTGGACTTCCTCCATGTAGTTTGATAAGGTCCATTGTAGCCATTGCAAGACCAGCTCCATTAACAAGGCATCCAATGTCACCGTCAAGGGCAATGTAATTGAGATTAAACTTTGCAGCTTCCACTTCTTTTCCATCCTCCTGAGTCCAGTCTCTTAATGCAAAGATCTCTTTCTGCCTGAAGTCTGCATTATCATCAAAACGGAATTTGGCATCCAAGCAGAAATAGTTCCCATCACTGTCTTCTGCATAAGGATTTAGTTCTAGAAGAAGAGCGTCCTTCTTAACAAATAAGTCATAAAGTCGAAATAACATATCCTTTGTGTTAGCTTTCTTGTCACCACCAAGTCCTAGTTTCTCAGCCACTCTCTCTGCCTGACTTTCAGTTATTCCTTCCATAATGTTGATGGGTTCGTAGTGAATGGCATCAGGATTCTCTGCTGCCACATCTTCAATATTAACACCACCTTGAGATGAAGCTATCACTACAGGACCAGCAAATGCTCTCTCCATCATGAGAGCAACATAATATTCCTTGCGCAGATCCTTCCGCTCTGTAACCATAACTGAATTACAGATGCGTCCAGCTTCACCAGTCTGCTTTGTTACCAGGTACTGGCCAATCATCTTTCCTGCTAATTCTGCTGCTTCTTCTGGGTTGTCAACCATTTTAACGCCTCCTTTCAATCCATTTTTGAATGATCCTTTTCCTCGCCCACCAGTAAGTACCTGAGCTTTTAATACAATGCCTTTTACGTTCAGATTTTTTGCAATTTCTTGAGCTTCAGCCTTTGTCTTTGCAACACCAAATTTTGGTACTGGAATACCTGCATCTTTTAGAAGAGTGTAACTCATATGTTCGTGTATATTCAAATTGCGTTGTTGCTGCTGACCCCATTTCGCGGCTGCAGTTGCACCATGAAGCTTTGAGCCAGTTTTCCTAACCAAGGATGCAGCTAGCCCCGCACATCTCCACCATATGGTAGCCATCCTGTTTACCGCAGATTACTAAATGCAGAAGACTATGTTAATCGAATTCAGTTCTGGCTATCTTCAATCCTGAAGCTCTGACGGTCAAGTACTTGTGGGATGTCGTTATATGAAGAAACAATCACTTGTTGACCTGTTCTATAATATTTATTATAGTTTCACAGTATACACAGACACACTTCCGTTTGAAGAACTGTAGACTAATAATATAATAAGAGTAGTGAAATCTGTAACACCTTGAACGTTTTATTGAAACGCAACCAAGAACCCGTTGTTACGGATATTCCTTCGCAACCGTCTATTGTTATTCAGTTATTCGCTGTGTGAACTCAAGAGCTTCCATGTATTCGTTGTCGCTGAAGTATTGAAGAATTGAAGACTAAAGTACATAAACAGTACTGAAATCTATAATACCTTAAACTTGTATTGAAAAGCAATGAATAATCTGTTGCTTAGGAAATGCTAGTCTTACTCAATACAGAACACCTTGTAGAAGTGTTTGGTTTCATCCGTTGTTACGCAACCAACAATCCGTTGCCACGGCTATTCCTACGCAACGGTCTGTTGTTACTCAATTTGTCGCTGTGGGAACTCAATCATTTTCCATGTATTTGTTATCGCTTAAGTATGCGTTCCAATTGCAGCTGTTGCGTGGCGATGGACGTCATATAGCACGTCACAGTATTAATAAATACATATTTTTTATGGCTTACGACCACCTTCCGCATCGGAGTTCTAGAGTTGGTTACAGAAGTTCTGGCAGTATCACGTGATCAATGTGGCGGGGAGGGAGTGGAAAATACACTGAAGTGCCAAAAGTCATGGGATAGGCACCTAGTATCGTGTAGGACCCCCTCTAGCCTGGCGAAGTGCAGCAACTAGACGTGGCATCGATTCCACAAGTGGACGGAAGAACCCTGGAGAGATGTTGAGCTATGCCGTCTGGGTAGCCGCCCACAGCTCCCTGGTATTTGTAGGTGCAAGATTTTGGGTGCGAATGGACCTCTCCACCACGTCCCATAAATGCTCGATTGGGTTCATGTCGGGCGAACATGGTGGCCACACCATTCGTCGGAACTCTCCAGAATGCTCCTCGAACCAATTCTGGACAACTCCGGCCCGATAACACGGTGCATTGTCCTGCTGGAATATCCCATCGTTGTGGGGGGTACATGAAGTCCATGAAGGGCTGCAAATGGTCACCAAGCAGTGTAACGTAGCGGCCACCGGTCAATGACGTATTTAGGTGGACGAGCGGACCCAACTCATGCCACGTGAACACACCCTACACCAGTATGGAACCACCATCCGCCTGCACGGTGCCTTGTTGACAACTGGGGTCCATGGCCTCATGGGGTCTGCGCCACACCCGAACCCTACCATCTGCCCTAAACAACTGGTACCGTGACTCATCGGACCACGCCACATGTTGCCAATCCTCCAGGGGACAATCAGCGACGTCACAAGCCCAGGTGAGGCGCTGTGTCTGGTGTCGTGGTGTTAACAGAGGCACTCTGGTCGGTCTTCTGCTCCCATATCCCATGGAAGCTAAAGAACGCTGCATTTACCTGCTGGATATGCGTCTGGTACCTCCTGCATTGAATGTGGATGTGATTTCAGCCAGTGTCGCTTGTCTGTTACCACGGACAATTGTAGGTAGACGCCGCTGGTCACGATTATTAAGCACCCGTGGTCGGCCACTGCGCTGTCCACGGTGGGTAGAAATGCCTTCCACAAGGTATTCCTGGTACACACGTGACACCGTGGATCGTGGAATGTTGAATGACCGCACAACTTCAGAAATGGAACGTCCCATCCGCCTGACACCCACTATCATGCCCCGTTAAAACTCCGATAATTCACGTCGGCTTGCCATAAGCAGATTGCCCGGTGCTCAACCTGACTCACGAGAGAACACCTCAAAACTGATACTGCTCTGGGCATTCCCAAGCCGTCAAGGAAATTGTATAACTCCTCCATTGGGAATATTATTGTGTGGTTATTTAATTAACATGCTTCTAATGAAATTATTTAGCGATAAATTATTTTCAGTGTTACAACACAATGTAGGCATGGTCTTATTAATTCTGTCTTATAATTACTCATTCAGTCACTCATGGAGCTGTTTCCTTCTCGACAAACTGACATTTGTGAAGCTACTTAAGAATTTCCCCCAAACTATATGGAACCCGAAGGTTCATTACCGTGTACACAAGATCTCTTTACTGATCCTTATCCTGAGCCAGATCGATCCAGACCAAATCATCGCATACTATACCTCTGAGATCAGTTTTAACATATTACCAACCCACCTACGTTTTGGTCTGCCCAGTGGTCTCATTTATTCTGATTTCCTCATTAATATCAAACATGCATTCCTCTTCTTCCGCATTCGTGCTACATTCCTACCCATCGAGCCCTCCTTGACTTGATAATTCCAAATATACTCTGTGAATAGTACAAGTTATGAAGCTCCTCATTATGAAGTTTTCTCCAAACTCCCGTCCTGTTCTCTAAAAACCTCTGTCTATGTCCTTTCCTAAATGTCAGCACGGCTGTATTTTATTATAGATAGAAACATGTATCATGTATATCAAGGGTTCTGCAGTGTCTTACCGAGTTTCATTAAATGCGTGTAGAATTTCCTTTCATTATTCATGTGCAATTTTCGCTACGTCAGAAGACCCGGTAATTGCTTCATCTAATTTACAAGAACATCTGAATCTAATGGAGAAATGGCTACACCGATGGAAAATCAAAGTGAATGAAAGCAAATCGGCGCATGTGACTTTTACTCTCAGGAAAGGCAACTGCCCCTCAGTACATCTAAATCATGTTAACATTCAACAACAGGATGTAATAAAATACTTAGGACTACACCTGGACTCAACAATAAACTGGAAACACCATATAGCGAAGAAAAGAAAACAAATCGAAATTAAGTTCAAGGAAATAAATTGGCTAATAGGTCGGAAATCTCACCTAACAATAGATAATAAACTACTGATCTACAAAACAATAATTAAACCCATATGGACATACGGCATTGAGCTCTGGGGATGCGCCAGCAGGTCCAACATAGAAATCATCCAGCGAAGTCAATCCAAAATACTTANGATGGATTACAGCTCTTCAAGCCAACTTAGTACAATAGAATAATTATTGTACATGACAGCAAATTAGCTCATAGAATGCAAATTCAGATTGCTAATAAATGATAAATAAAAAAAATTATTCATGTGGGTCGTTGCTTGTACAGTGTAAAACTTTCCAGTATTATTTTATAAAATTACAGTTTCTTTTTCAGTAACAAGACTAAAACACTGGTAATTATACAGAGCTGTGAAATAAGTCGTCTAAGCAGAACAAAGCACAGGCAGACTTGTGGCCTACAGTTATTCTGCTGCTGCCAGTAAATGCTGGATTTCGATGTATTCTGGCAGAGTGCGTCTCGAAGAGACACTGGCGTCTTGTTTTATTGCAGTGTCCACCTGTTTGAGACTTCTATTTGATCAAACAATTGATACATAGAATATTAAAGGGGCGTTGCTGTAACGTTTATTTCTTACTTGATGATTGGCTACAGCGTCGCTGTTGAAGTTGACACAGCCCTTTATTATGCTTCTACGGAAATGAAGGCAATCTCTACGATTGGACTCGGAGCAGACAGCGCTTTCTCAATGCTGCAGACGATAGGTTTATGAAGACATTATGGAGCAATGCGGACCGGCGGTGACTCGGTACAATGTGCGTGCTCCTTTAATGCATAATATACATGTTGCCAAGTGTAGGTGTGTGGCTGGCAGACGGTGTTTTTATTAGTGAATGGATTTATTGAGCACTGGTAATCGCCACTCTTTATAAATCAGTGCTGCAGACACTAAATCGTCTCCTGACTCTGGTGTTTTCAAAAGCCGTTTCCTGGTAATGGATGTTAAGACTGGATTCTTCAGCTTCTCGCACTCAGATCCTTCTTATTCGGAGAATATCACTCAATTCCCTTATCCGGGCTAGGTTAATCGTTATATAATTTCGGAGCTCAATCAACGGAAGACACCGTCCCCAACGGCCCTTCTATTTTTATGGGTAGTTGATTGCAGATAGCCAGGATATTTTTGACGTGTATAATTTGTTTCGTCGAGATCATGTTTACCAAGCCAGTGCTCAAAAACCGTCGTTGCATAGCAACGGCTTAAAAATTCTGCAAATCATATAAATCTGTTTTAAGGACCATTAATTTTAAATGTTAAAGATTATTTTATTCTGTAGGGTTATGACGTGTTGTTTGATAGATCGTTACGAGTATGTGTGACGAACTTGTTTACATCTTCAGTCTTGTGAACTCAAGATGCAGAAACGCTCTTAAACACCTAACATAGAACACAATATTACGTAAAAGCGGAAAGTAATATTCAGTCACCGCCTTGAGAAACACAAAATTTGTCGGGAACGCAGGTTAATGTAAATCGGCTGATTCATATTCAGTAAATAACAAACAGTCTCAAATCATAACCATACTGGTTAAAACTTCAAGATAAGTCCCTTAAACCCTGCAGTGGGTGTGCACTGTACAATGTCGTTTTTCTTTCTTCGGGCTTTGACTGTTATTTTCATATTGCCTAAGTATTTAATTTCATATATGTTCTTATTGTTTTCCTTAGGTTCTAGGTCTATGAAAAACAAAGGCAGTGATTGGTTCGTTTGTTTGACGATACTTGACGTTTAGTGTAGTGCACACAGTATGACCTTGTTTTTATAGTTCTTTTATTTCGTCTGTGGCTACTGAGTGATGCAGAGTTCGTTTTACTACCCTATAGGCATTTCCGTCTCCTATCTGCTATGTATGATATACTATATTTTTTTGTTGGAGCTGTCTGATTAATTTCCGATAGGATTCTAATGTGATCACATTGATTTTTATCGTTTCATTTGAGACTGCTTTGCATTAATACTGTTCTTCTTCTATCGTTGTATGTAGGTGTTTCACCATTTCACAGTAAATCGTTACCCCGTATATATGGTGGAAGTTTAGATTGGCTTGGATCTTTATTTTTAGTGTTTGTTACTGTTTCATTTGCCTCGTCTGTTTGCATATGCAAGTCTGAGGGCCGTGAGACGTTTCCATGCCTGTTTTAGGCATTAAACAGAAAGGGATTTCCTTTCGTTATTGTTTCTGGG